TTACAGTATTGGTGTATGGTTTCAACACTGTTGGTGTATTCCGGAACCCGCCCGCTATAAATGGCCACTGTAATTACCATAACACCCTCATTTATCAAAACGCGTGAAAATCCTCAGAATTATCACTGCCGTTAGATTAAACTGATTTAACGACACAGATACAACCACACGACCACACCTAATGACATGACCACATATGAGCGCTCTTTTATTTATATATATGTATATATATATATATATATATATATATATATATATATATATATATATATATATATATATATATATATATATATATATATATATATATATATTAATTATTTATTTGTCACGGGCAATTATATCATGTGTTTGGAAAATTATACCTACCATGCAAGTTATTTTGTTTAGGCCACATGGTGAAACACCTTTAGTTAATCTCAATCAATTTCAATATAAAAACCTAATTTTGTCACATCAAAATAAAATACGTGAGTGGCCATTACCTACATGTTCCCCTTTTTCTTCCTTATATGTGTTTATTTAAAGAAGTGGAAAGAATTATGGTCGAAACAGGCCAATGACTCTATGATGACAAAGCATAAAGAATATGTCATGCAGTGGAAGTACTATACTGCATGTTTGATATGATAAAAGCATAATTATTGTGGATCGAAGATTCAGATTCCATCCGAATATTTTCAAGTGAAATGATTAAAGATTTTTAGTCAACCTTGATACTTTATTTGAGTTATAAAAAATTTTGAGTCATTAATTTGAATCCTCCTCTACGAGACTTAATTAGGTACAAAGGGTTGACCAAGTAAATTAAAATGATTTAGACCTCTCTGAGACCAAGTAATTTGAACCCAAAGTTATAATAAGTCAAACCTCAAATTCATTAATATTATTTTCTTTCGAATTGCCATGTCTAGAATAGGTGTCCCAATAAGTCAATCGTTATGCCAGAAATCGTGTTCACCATCCATGGATTCCATGGTGAACACGGTCTCAAACGGTAACGGTACCCGTAAGTGGCACCGTTATCTTCCATCAATCTTTCTTTCTTTTTTTCTTTTTTTTTTTTAAATTAACAGTGCGACTTTTCTTCTTCATTTTCACATTTCGTGGTTTCACTTCCTCTTCGCGCAAGCTTCTACAACACTCATAAATTATGAATGTGCAGGCATGGATTTATGAATGTGCAGTTATGAAATTATGAATTTCCTTTTATGAAATTATGAATTTTCTGTTATGAGATTATGAATTTACAGAAAATTCATAATTACATAATTGTAAATTCATAATCTCATAACAGAAAATTCATAATTTAATAAATATTTTTCTTTTATGAGATTATGAATTTTCTGTTATGAGATTATGAATTTACAGAAAATTCATAATTACATAACTGTAAATTCATAATCTCGTAACAGAAAATTCATAATTTAATAAATGTAAATTCATAATCTGAACATAGAATGCAAAACGCCGTTAACAGCACACTAACTAAAAAAAAAAAAATTATGTAAAAACGACGCTATTTTAAAACGTGTTCACAAAGTATGGTGAATACGTTTCCACGACATAATTTGCGCCAATAAGTAAAAGAAAAACAGCCAATTTATGGTTGTGGTGTAAATTGGATCAAGGCCCATTTGTTGTCTCATTAATAAATTCCTATTTATACTCTCATTTGAGCTTTGGGTTATTATAAGCATATGGACTAGACTATATGTTTAATATGTCCTCAAACTTTACACGATAGAGCAATTACATGGGGTCCCTTCAGACTTGGATCCGTAATAACTGCGAGTTAAGGGGCAGGCTGCGCAACCATACTACTTGGGGGTCCCATTTCTGTCACATACTATGGGAGATCTGGAAGGCACGCAATGAGGGCGTTTTCAATAACTCGTGGAGGGAAGCAGGCAATGTGGTGAGGCGTGTTACTATGTCTATAAATGAGCTCAGTAACCATCGCAAAATCGGCAACTACTTCGATAAGAACATCAATAGATGGGTGGGTTGGATACCCCCAACGACTGGTTGAGTGAAGCTGAACACAGATGGTGCGAGAAAAGGCAACACCGGCCACGCTAGCGCCAGGGGGCTAGTTCGAGACGCTAAAGGGGCCTGGCTTGCGGGGTTCCTAACAAACATCGGCATATCCTCTAGCTTTATGGCTGAACTGTGGGGTATTCGTGAAGGCCTTAAGTTAGTAAAACAAAGAGGTTGGGATATGGTTATTGTCGAGGTGGACAACGACGCCCTCGCCAAAATTCTGAATAAGGATACCGAGCTGGATCATTCTGACTCCCCCATGGTGGCAGAATGCATGTACTTAATGGCTAATTTGAGAAAGGTTAAAGTTACCCACACCTTCACGGAAGGCAACTAATGTGCAGACAGACTCGCTAATATGGGACAAAACACTAGTACAGGGACTTCCATACTTGAGGAACCGCCGGACTGCATCATGGATCTTCTTTTGGCCGATTCAGGAGGTGCTCGAACTCGTAGAATTAGATAATGGGGGCCTTGCCCCCTCCAATGTACCCAAAAAAAAAAAAAGGAGCAATTAAATACTTAAACTTTTAAAAGATGCAATTAAATTATCAAATTCATTAAAATTAGTCAAGTAGGTGCAATTAAACTATTAACAACTATTAAATTGACTATCAATTAATCGGACTGGTCTCTATTGGAAGAAGACGATTCGCGTGGTCACCTTCTTCATATCAAAGAAAGCGACCACGTTGGTCGCCTTCTCGGCAAAATCTCGGGTGAAGGCGACCAAAAGCGATAAAGAATTGTTGCCTTCTTCAAAGGTAGACTTGTGATTGTCGGATAGTCGTTGGATTTTCGTCGGAATAGTAATGACCGGCTATGACAAGTCTATAACCGGTTAAAGCTCAATGGCTTATTTGTCCCTTTTCTCAATATATAATAGTAGAGTTAAAATTTTCAGTTTAACTAACATTCAAGTCAAAGTAACAATAAATCAAAATTCTTAAAATCTTAAATTTGATAACTGAGTAATTTAACCAATTTAAGTCGTTTCGAACTCAATGATGAACACCTTTACTTGCCAACATTTGATCTATTTGATATGGATTTCAATATAGCTCATACAATGATAGTTGATTAGTTAAATGTAAGAGTTTTTTGCACTTTTGGTCCCACGACTATAGTGGCACTAGTAGAATTGATCCACGACTTTTGAATCTTGTAATTTTAGTCCACGACTATTGATTTTTTTGCAAAAATGGTCCTTCTGGCCACTTTTCCGTCAAAATTCTACTGGAAAATTTTTTTTTATCCATTTTTAACAGGGCTAAAATTGATATTTTACTTATCTCAAAATATAAAGGAAATACATAAAACGAAAAGGTAAAAGCGATTGCATTTGAGAATCTCCGCCGCTTCTCTCGCCGGAAAGGTAAAAGGTATTAATTGTATATTATATGATAACTAGTGTAATTCTCAAACAATTCTCTGATATATTTATATTTCGGGATTCAATCATATGACCTTCTTTCCAGGGGAGCCACAAAGGTGTCATCTGAGCACAAGGTGCTTGGCATAATTAACTAACTTATTATGATTAAGAAGATAATAGTTTGATCTTCTTATTTTTAATGTCTTAATTATCTTCTTGTCAAATTAATTGAAATATATCTTCAATTATCTTTTCTTAATTAGTTATAGTTTTGTTAAAAATTTTAAACATATTTTGATAAATTATTACTGATGACTACATGAAACTTAAGATTGTATTGTATATACTAAAATGCCCCACTATGTTATGATATGAATATATGATATAAAAGTTCAATTTAATTTTAAATAAAATTTCAAAATTAAATTCATGATGATATACAGATATGGTGGACATATAAATAATATTTTTTTTATTCAAAAATTAACTGTTAAATAAATAAAAGCTAATTTTATCTAATTTCAATTACAACCAATAATCGTTGTGTACTAAAATTTAACCAATGACAATTATGGAGTAAGTAAATAATAGAAAATGGCTTTTAAATATACCATGAGAATGATAAATATTTTTTTAATATTAATTAATGAAGTGGTTGTTAACTATTTTTAAATTTGAATTAGTATTAATTAATTAATATCAATAATCCAATAAGAATGTGATGTATAAATTTTACAATCAACTAATCAAATTTGGTTTGAAAAATCATATACTACAAGTGACACATAAATATTATTATCAACCAATCAAAGTGATTTTTTAAAACCCTTTTTACTAGAAATACAATAGGTACTCGATTCAAAATAATTTATAATACATAAACTACTTCCCTTAACACATTGGCTATAATCTCACTACCCATTCTTTTTCCCCGAGGTATGCACGGTTTCTTCTCACTAAACACATTCTTTTGATTTTTAAAAATAAAAAACTTAAGTGATGTCAACTTCATCAAACCATAAACCATATTTATGCTAAAGGCATTGGTAAATTATGAGTCACATAATCATTATCTTGAACCTTTTTTCCCATTTACATTACCACCTTCAATCGTAACATCAAGTCAAGCGACAAACCAATATGTTAAAACCTTGAAGTCTCACGAGAACCATTCTTTAATGATCTCAACTTTACTAGACTAATCCTAAGCTCACATGACCCCGCACCTAGAGTCACTGCGAAAGTGAATCGCAAACCACGCAATCAGATCCTAGTCTTTTTATGCACACAAACAATCCAATAACCTTATTGTTTTTAATTGAATTTGAACCCATACACTGCCGATCTAACCATGACCTTTAAGTCAAGCGACAAACCAATGCCACACACTAGACCCATTCTTATAAACACATTTGCTATATTTTCAACCCAAGGGAGGTGCAGCCAACCGTTAGGCCTCAACTCTCACAAAAGGGAAATTGGTCTCTCAAGTCTCAACAACACATCTTTTATCCTGTTCTAATGGGCACTGAGCTGCACTACATGCTGACCTAGCTTTGTTTCGAGTATGGCATTCACAAAAATTAATGATATACTTGAAGAATATATAATATTGCAACTAATTCTCAACTTGACTGTCAATACAAATATAAGCCGCAACAAAACATGTGAGCTGAATAAACTTACCGTAACAAGGAAAACATTAGCGACGACTTCTACATAATTATGCAACAAGAATAAAGTCTAAAGATTGGTTTATGCCAGCTTGGGGCCAGGGTGTTGGGTGTATGATGATACTGAAACTCCATGGCAAAGCATCACAAGAAAAATCTCCGACGACTGGTATCCATCTCCGGCTGGATTCAAGAGTAAACAGAACAATTCTCGAACAATTAGAAAGTTGCATTATCTGACAAAAATAAAGAACAAAAGCAAAAAAAAAAAAACAAAAAACAAAAAACAAAAAAACAAACAAACAAACAAACAAACAAACAAACAGCAGTTCACCTTATGAACCCATTCATATTCCCCACCCTTTGTATCAAAGGTGCCATGCTGGAGGCTAATTAATTTCAGCGTAAAACGTGGACCACATTCCTGCAGAAAGAAATTGCAAGAGATTAACAAAAGACTTTAGAATTCACAACCCAGTACTAGGTAGGTCAAAAACTACTATGTTCTCCAGTTTTTCAGAGAAGTAACACACTGAGTATCCATTTGGAGCACCACAACCTAACAGCTCGGTCCCAATATTATATAGTTGAGGGCTTCACTTTTTCACGAAACAGAGGACACAGTATGGGGATGCCAGATTGATGCATTAGTTTTTGTTGATTTTGTTGTTTACTTGTTAGCTCTCTTATACCGAACTCCTAAGGACATGAATCCATCTAAAACTCCTCACTTGAAATATGCATTGCAATTCCTCAAGGGAGGTGAGCAATTAGACCACCTTAGTCCTCCCCAATTCCACTATATGTAATAAGTTGAAATTGGTTCCTAACCTATTTATGTCTTCCACTGTGTATGTGGGTGGGTCCACATTGTATTATGTATTCCCAAATTACCCTGACATGCTTTAGAAGACATTTTGCAGAAGTTAAGGGTAAGGCCTAAGAGCTCATTAAATTAAACTAGAATCTTTAGATCCTCCTAGGTTTAATAGATGGTGCCACTGTTGAATCAGATATGGCACTTGAGTGAGTGGCATATCGAAAAGATTCCTATGCCTCGAACAAGAGACATGGACATCTGAGAGGAGGCACCTACTGTGACTCTGTGAGGGAATGGTCGTTCACAAGACTAAGGGCTTAGAGAGAAAGCAAAGAACTTCATTGACAACATGTCCGAGGAAGTGAATGTGACAGTCAAGGCAATGCTCAATTCAATTGAATCAATATATCAAGAAGTTCATTACATTACTAATGGGCAATCAGGTTCAGGTTAACAATACAGAACAACAGTGCCTCCTGAGTCCTGGAAGTTTAAACTATAATCTAGAGTCATTATAAGATAATCCAAAAAGGACTAGAATCCAAACCTGAAGACGGGCAACAACTTTTTCCTGGGGGTTAGTCTGGTCCTCATTCTCTTTGCCTTTTTTCCCTTGTGAGTCCTGTTTGCCTTGCTTTGTCTCAAATATATAACTAGAAAAAATGAGGTGAAATCATCATATGGCACTTATTAGAACTAAATGAAGACATGTAAGTCAAGAAGAACCATTAACTACATGATGATTAAGGCATCATACATTCATACTTGAGTTCAATTGGTAGTATAAAAACATCTGAAAACACCACTAACAAAGAGAAATGGCATTTTACCGATGATGGCGGAAAAAAATAAAATCACGCTGGTTGTGAAATGTTACAACTCTCCGGCCTTTGAAATTGGGATCTTGTGGAAAAAGTGCTTGAATCATCCTAGATCAATAAAAATAATTAAAAATAATTAAAAAATAAAATAGAATAAATGATAAATTTAACACATAAACCAGCATACAAAAGAAATATTAATTATAAGTAAAGTCCAACCAGAGCAAGGCTATTGCAGTTTGGGTTTCAAGGTTTCTAAGGGGTTGGAGTTAGAATGGTAGATGCAACCATGCAACTATTGCCTTTGAGAACAAAGAGGTTGGACAATACTTCATCCTGTGACTCAAAGGTCATCTCAATGGGTCATAAATGCAAACCCAAATATCCTAAGAATTATATGGCCATCAAAGTAGAAATAATACATAAAATGATACTTAATGTGAAGCTAAAACTTCAGTTAAATTATACAGTCTAGTAAAATGCTTAGACAAGTGAATGGGACAAAGTAATCACATTCAAAACCTTTTCAGATACAATCTCCAACAGTAAAAATACTGGCATCAGATCATAGTTATCACTTTTAAGTACAAGGGCCTCACCTCCCTATTCGATGCCCCAAACGCGTAGTGAAGTTGGCCAAAACTAGCTCTGGTATGTGACTAGTTGGATTTCCATGATTCTGAATACAAACCAAAGAGACCAGAGTAAATAACATAGATACAAAACCTTACAAGTATTGAATTTCAGGCCTTGTACAGAAACATGTGAATCATATAATTCTGGATCATATCGGGTGTTTCAACAATCACATGTTGATGTTCTACTTCATTATAAACATTAGAGTTCTTGCCGAGATGAATTTCAATTCATGCATATCAATTAAAGGAAATGCTTTCTTGTTGTCTCATAGTGATTGAAAAAATGATTAGTCTAACATTGAGCTATCAATGAAAGTTCTTGCCCAATAAGCTATCTTGGTGTTCTCATGGGTAGGGGGAAGCAAATCCTACTGAATTAAAAGTAGGATGCAATGTCAGCAAGTTTTCAGTAATCAGAATACAAGAAACTGATGTAATAATATGAAGATGATGCTTTTTGGGACGAGGCAATGGCATAATATAAAAATATATCACACCTTGAGATCCTTCCGTAGGACAAGTCTTGAGAGCTTAAAATGAGCTGTAGGACCATCAGGTAGCCCTATGATGAGTAGAGCATCTAATGGGGGAAAGAAAGTCAAATAAGTAATCAATAAAAAGCATCAAAATTGAACAGCAGTTACATTCAGTAGAAATATATGAAGAGGTAAAATTAGAAGCAACAAAGTAATATGGCTCAGAATACAAACCTGGTTCCCAACGATTAGTGTGTACAACGATAATGGAAGTAAAATCCCTTCCTTTTGCATATTCAACAATCTGAAAAATCACATGATTCTATAAAACTTAGAAATAAATACACTTTATTTTGTTAGGTAAAAATAAGAAGCTAATATGTGGCACAGAAACTCTATAATACTCCACAAATAAATTTGGATTTTCATGTATGCAAAGGAGAAAGGAAACTGGTTTAGAAAAATGTGTGCAAACAAGAACCTTTTTTAGGTCATATGTCCCTCGCTTGTAGTAGTGAGCATTAGGAATAACAGAGAGCAATTCAGTAATAAATGCAGGCCCCCTCTGCACAATAGGAGATACAGTGTAAGTGTCTCAAATTGCAAGGGCTAGATTTCAAATATACAAATGTAACAAAGATGTATAAAGGCAGGGGAGGCATACTGTGGATTTCAACCGGGACGTTGTGATCAAAATCTTAGGAACTTGGTCTTTCCTGAGTACAGCACTAAATTCATCCACATCATTGCTAGCAAAGAGCTGCCAGTTCAGAAGGTCAGTAAAAGAATTATTCATTTTGAGTGTGAAACATAGCAGAGTAAGCACACCCCTATCAAATTAGAAAGGCAATAGTTAACCTCTTCATCATCAGGTTTGCAGACAGTCTCATCAGCCTCCCTGGTATTCTCTATAGTGCGGGGGATCTTCTTAGGAGGAAGCTATTCATAAAAACACAACACAAGGCATAGGCATCATTAGAATCAAATGCATTTAAAAATTCAAAACAGGAAACACTACAACACCCTAGAGTGAATAAAACTTGCACAGCATATGCATCATAAAAAATCAAAAGCATTCAAAATCTCCAAAAAAAGAAACATTAAACTCTAGACCCGGAAAATTAGCTTATGCAAATGGAATAATTTATGGGAAGTGGCAGGGGCAGACCTCTTCACCGAGCTCCAGAGCCCTTTTTTCAGCAGCTTCGCGGGCTTTAGCCTTCTTGCGCTTGTCTAGCTTCTTCTCCTGCTTGAGCTTCGCATGGACAGCAGATCTTTTTTCCTTGTTCTTTATCGAGGATGGCAGCAGAGTTTCCCTCGTGTTTTGGTTCTCTCTTTTGGTATCAATGGAAGTGCTAGCTTCTCCGTCGTCCCCCTTATCGCCGCCATTGTTCTTCCTCCGTTTTTCCCCCATTGGAGTAGAGTTTAGCTAACTGCTGTGCGGGGAAAACTTATTAGGGATTTGAAATTGAAGGTTTGTCTACGAATCGGACCTTATCGCCTTGTCGGGCGCCGCCGTCGAGTTCGGTAATGGCGGTAGGCCGTCGCTATGAGTTTATGACTGAATGAAGAATTGAAGATGGACAAGGGAGTGAGGCAACGTCAAGGAATTATGAATTTAGGAACTAGGGTTTAAGTCTCACAAATGCAAAATAGGTCTGTTATCTTTTGTTTCTTGCGATTTTAGTCCCTTATGTGTTTGGTTCATGCATTTACACAATTTAAAACAGGGTTTGATTTGATTACCTCTTCAATAAAAATTCATTCCCTAATTAAAACAGGTAGCATTTGTTATTGGTAATTTAATTTTAAATTTAGATTTTTTTCTTTTTTGGTTTATATTGGTGCTTTGAATGTCATTATAATAAGATAAATTGCCTTAATTTTTATTTTTGTATTTTTAAACGTTTTATTCTTATTATAGGATCATACATCATCAAATATCAATATTGGTAATCATTCAAATTCCACCTTATTATTAAACATGCAAAATACTTTCACCAGCATTCCAAACTTTGTTAGTCCTACCAAAGCATTTCGGCCACCCCAAATGACCCAACAAATTGCTATACATTTCATTTGTAGACCAATGTCAACCTGAGCAAACCACTTCTGAAACCATGCCACAAAGTCATCCTCCGCTGCTGGGAGATGGCAGTTTACCCCAAGCCAAAAACGATTGAATACAGCTGTAATCAAAGAAAAGATGGCGGATGGTTTCTGGCTCCTGACTCCTGTCGACAAAGATGACACCTAATATCCACATCCCGTCGTCTTGAAGATAATGCCACCATAGTTGGCAATACGCCATGCAAACACCACCATATGAAATTTAAAACCTTTGGGGAATATCAAATTTCACTAACATTATATCATAACATGTTCGGTCTATTTTGGTGGTGTCTAGATTATAACATGATATCAGAACATGTTCAGTCCACTTTGGTGGCGTCTAGATTATAACATGGTATTAGCTGTTTGAGATGGGAAAGAATATGGTGGACCACCCTGCAAAAAATAGCAAAGTTGATTCAATCTATTTCTAAAGTAATGGAGGTCTTCTTTGAAGCCTGAGGTTTCTCTGCAGCCTGGATGCCCTCAAGCAATGCAAGTAGGGTTGGAGATTAGGATATGCAAAAGAAAATGAGGGTAATTTATTGCTGACAAAATTTTTATGTGTTTGCTTCATTGAAGTTCATGTATAGTGTTCAAACTAATAACGTATCGGAAAAATGCGAGCCTCATTATTGAGTTTCTCGTGTCATTTGTATGGTTCTGGACTGTTAGCGTAAAAATTAACACCCAAAATATTTATAATTGAATTGTTTCCATTTTTTTTATTTTGTTTCAAATTTTATTTTATTTTTAAAATTTTGGGGCATGAATATTATTTTTAATCATTTTTTATTCATTCGATTATCGAAATTAAAATATTTTTTTATTTTTTTTAATTAAAACTTGTTCTTTAGAGTTAGTGTTTTTTTTTTAAATAAAAAGAATTAGGTTTAGTTTCATTCAGGTGATTGGTAATCGTCACATATATTAATTTGCTATTGCTACAATTTTTTTCTCACTTTCTAGATGTGCTTCTATGACATTTTCTTTATGGTAACCGTCACTTTCTTGTATGACCATTTTTGTCTAAAATTTTTGATTTATTGGAGGCCATTGAACCCGTCACCAATGAAGTTAAAAAGATTAAGCATAATTGGAAAGATTTTATCAATGCAAAGGAAGTTGAGATCACTCGCCTTTTAGTTTTAAAGGATGACTTGCAGAAGCTTATAAACAATGGTGACGCGGCAGTATTTGAGGCCATGGCCTTAATTGCTCAAACCAGGGACTCCCCTAAGCAGATCAATAAAGAGCTGGAAACATGGTCGTTCCAATAAAAATTAGGGCATGTGCGATATCTTAATTTTGGAGCCCTCTTTTTCAATAATTTCTATATTTCTATATATAAATAATAGTTTTTCAAGACGATGTATTAAAATATAATACTGTATAAAAATACATCTAAATTTCGTTTAAAAAGTGAAGTTTGGATATCAACTCCTTTCAAAAGTTCATTTTCAATAGAGATAAAAGCTATTGATATCAACTTTTGATATGATATACATATAATTTTTTTTTTAAATATGGGCCCCCAAAAATTGGGGGCCCATGTGTACCTGCTCAGAACCGGCCCTGACGGGAGAAGGTATACAATTTATTTTTTGAATCAGTTCTGGTTTTGTCTTGATTTCTTTTAAATTTTAATAAATTGTCTGGGTTTGATTTTACATATAATTAGAGAAAATAATGTTGTCTTGGGGGAGGTATACAGTTCTCATTTTGTGTGAATCAGTCCTAGTTTTATCTTGATTTCTTTTAAATTTTAATAAATAGTTTGGGTTTGTTTTGATGGGTCCTTATAGAAAATGAAGCTGGTTTGGATGAATCCCAATCGTTTACTTAATCTCAGTCCAGTTGTATGCTCAATCCCTGTCCCAATCGTCTGCTCAACCTCAGTCCAAGTTTGCTCAATAAATAAAGAGGAGATGGCTCCTTTGAAGGACCAATTTGACAAAAAGGTTACAGATGCCGACAAGCTCATACATCAGTTGTTTGAGTTGAAAGAGAATATGGTTGACTACTTTGCAAAAATAGGAAAACTGGTTCACTTTTTCAATCTTTTAGCGTGGTTTGGTCCATGTTCACTATATCCCAATGTTAGATTATAACATGGTATTAGAGACTGTATCAGAGCATGTTCGGTCCATTTTTGTGGCGTCTAGATTATAGCATGATATCAGAACCTGTATCAGAACATTTTATGTCCACTTTGGTGGTGTCTAGATTATAAAATGGTATCAGAGCATGTTCGGTCCACTTTGGTGCATCTAGATTATAACACGATATTAGTTGTTTGAGATGGGGATAATTAAATCAATTACAAAATTTATTTGGGTGTTCTTATTCTTAGAAAGTCATCACTTCATCATCATTTAGTGCTCTCACCTTGCTATTTGTTTTTGTATTACAAAATTTACAGAATGGGTAAGGGTAAGGAGAAGAAGGAAATTACATTTAAATGCAAAGATTGCGGAAAGGCATTCAAATGCAAGGTATTAGCATTATATCATAACCTGTATCCGAACATGTTCGGTCCACTTTGGTGGTGTCTGGATTATAACATGGTATTAGCTGTTTTAGATGGAAGAAAATATGGTGGATCACTCTGCAGAAATAGCAAAGCTGATCCAATCCATTTCTAAAGTAATAGAGGTCCTCTCTGAAGCCAAAAAAGAAAATGAAGAGAATTTACAGAAAATTTTTATGTGTTTGCTTCATTGAAGTTCATGTATAGTGTTCAAACTAATAACGTATCGGCAAATGCGAGCCTCAATTTAATGAGTTGCTCGTGTCATTTGTATGGTTCTGGACTGTTAGTGTAAAAATCAACACGTTATCGGTGACATGTCTACATCTCTACAAATGTTACCGCAAATTATTTCTAATTGAATTGTTTTCACTTTTTTATTTTATTTTTAACATTTTTTGGGCAAGAATATTATTTTAAATCATGTTTGATCCATTCGATTATCGAAATTAAAACATCATTGCTTTCACCACATCTAAATGTGAATCTAGCTCTCTAATCTTGAATTGTTTTCACTTTTTTATTTTATTTTTAACATTTTTTGGGCAAGAATATTATTTTAAATCACGTTTGATCCATTCGATTATCGAAATTAAAACATCATTGCTTTCACCACATCTAAATGTGAATCTAGCTCTCTAATCTTGTCCACCATTGGCTGCAAACCCTTGATACCGACCTCTGTTGGAGATAGTGTAGTGTCCTCAGTTGTGGTGATAGGTGTGGGTATGGTTTTAATACTCGGAGTGGCTGATTGATTACTCTCATCGGACGATTTATCCCTTCTTTTACCCACAAGCCCAATTAGGCCACTCAGCGTATCACTAATCATTTCTATTGTTGATTTAATACTAATTGTAGCCTCAGAGGATTCAATACCAACTGGGGAGGGCTTACCTTCAATGCTATCCGTGCTACTGAATGAAGACCCAATAGATGATTTTATACCTTCACTAAGAGGTAACTGCTCAGGGGTGAGGGGATTCAGCCTCACCCTCCGGCCCCAATGATTTACGAATGAGCATCTTTGCTTCATTCATATTTTGCTCCGCCAATTTCAATTTGGCAAGGGCAACTCGACTGTCCTCTAAGTATTGGTTCGATATCATCAACTCGTTTTCCAATAGTGAAATTTCATTAACCAAGAATGTTGTTGTTTGCAGTTTTTTTTTTAATTATTATTATTATTATTACAGTTTGTTCATTATTATTATTATTATTATTATTATTATTATTATTATTATTATTATTATTATTATTATTATTATTATATTTATTATTATACCCTTTTGGTCATTTTACATGTTAACCGTTAATCTAAACAACTAATTTTATCAAACATATTTTTACAAACTGCTGGTATAATCCGTTGGTCAAACCCGCTAACACAATCCGCTATTTGTTAACCGTTAATACAATCCGCTACAGCTAACCGCTGATTGCCAAACAAGCCCTATAACATGGTATCAGAGCATGTTCGGTCCACTTTGGTAGCTTCTAGATTATAACATGGTTTCAGAGCCTATATCAGAGCATGTTTGGTCCACTTTGGTGGCATCTAGATTATAATATGGTATCAGTTGTTTGAGATGGAGGAGAATATGTTGGACATTCTGCAAAAATAGCAAAGCTGATTTAATCTATTTCTAAAGTAATGGAGGTCATCTTTGAAGCCTGGGATGCCCTCAATGATTCTTTAGCTCAAAATGCTAATATGCGAGAGCTTTTAAAGAAAAAAGACGAAGCAGTATCAGAAGGTATATAGTTCATCTCTTCATAGTTTTGTTTTTATATGTTTGAATCAGTTCTTGGAACTGATTGGCGGTTTACTTCGTTTTTGGTTTGGGTTTGTTTTTACAAATCATTAAAGAAGATGAACAAATCAAAACGGTCGTCGACTCCTTGTCTACAAAATCCCAGTTTGCTCATGATTAATCCCTGACTGCTACTGCTTGATTGATAAAGGAACATGTCATGCCTTTGAATG